ATACGGGGAATCAGAGTTCGATTTCGGAGAGGGAGCCTGAGAAACGGCTACCAGAACCAAGGAAGGCCGCAGGCGCGCAAATTACCCACGGAGAGTTACATACTGAATGACATACTGACATACTGACATACAAGTGAAGCTAATAAAAAGCGTGTAAAAACGGCACTAGTTAAAAAAGTACAGTACAATTTAACAAGTCATTATTTAATAAAGCAAAATTTGATTTATTTATAGTTCAGGAGTCACGGCAGTCACATAGTGACTGCAAGGTTGCTAGTACAATTTAATTTCAAGTATGCAATAAAGGCAAAGAAAAAAAATTTTTTTTCCCTTTGGACGTATAGCGTCAATTTTAGCCCCGCTGCGCTAAATGAAGTTGCTGCTTTCCGCCTCCATCGAGGAAAAAAATAGTATACACTCCTCGGGAAGTAAATAAGAAAGCCTCAGATCACATGTAATTGTTGGCAATTACAATTATTGGTAATTACACATGATTTGAGACATTTCTTAATCTACTTCCTTTTTTTTTTTTGAAAAGTTTATTGTTATTTACTACAAACAAAAGTTACATAGAATATTCTTACAGAATAAAAAATACAATAAAAAAACTGTAACATAATTATAATAAATATTATTAAATTTTTCTTAGCTGGCTACATTAAATAGATCTTCCTAAAAGTCATATCGGAAAATTGCACTTATTTACTGTCAGAAACATAAGTAATATTAACATTCTTAGTTAAGTCAAATAATTTTATGAGAGATGCAAAAGTTGTGAAATATAAAAGCATCTAAATTTTCTTAATTTACTTCCCTAGGGGTGTAATATACTATTTTAAATTAAAGCTCGAATAGCTCTGCGTAGAATAGATATAATTTTAAAATAATTGCATGATAAAAAAAAAACATTTAACAATAACAAAGTTTGTAAAATTCCAATGATGTTAAATTTTATGGGTTGATCCTTCTTATTTCGTTTGCCTGTCAAGAGTTAAAAATATTGAATAAATATAAATTTATAAATCTAAAATTATTGCAGTTGATACAACACCGAAGAATGCATACAGGGGAAAAACCCCATTTATGTCCTCACTGTGCGTATCGAAGTGCTCGTCGTGATAATTTACGAAGCCATGTACGCAGAGTTCATAAGAAAGAAAATCTGTACTGTGACACGTTCAGCCCCCGTGGGATGTTGATAAATCCAAGCTTGACACCTACTGAGGTAACTGATCTCGATGTGACAAACGTCCAAACTCCGGCCTCACCTGCACCGTCCAATTCTGAAGTGACGAACTAACGAAAGCATCGCTCGATCACGAGTTAATAGCTCGTACGAGCAATCACTGTTTATTAATTTACTGATTTTCTTATTTATTCGTTTAATTATATCATATAGTTGAACGACTTAAATATAAAGGTACCGAAACGTCCTAAATACGTCAATAAAGTCCAGGTTTTAAATAAACTCGACGGATCGATAAGTTAATGTCTACGATAAATTTATTAATAATGAATAATTGATAATGGTTAATGGATAAGGATATTATTATTATAATTATTATTTATTATTTGATGAAACATTATTGTACGTTAAGTAAGCTCATCAACGTCTGTTTGAAAGTTTCGAAAGGTACTGTGGAGTTATATAAATTCTCCATATAGTTAGTTAATTCAAAATTATATATTATTATAAAAATTATTGCATGTCTTTTCATATATTATCAATTTCCTCATTTTTTAATTTTTTTATCGTTTTATTAGATTTTTGTTGGAGTTTTCATCAAAAGAATTAAAGAAAATAGAATATAAGGAATTTTAACTCAAAATGGAAAAATTACACAGTAAAAAATTTTGCGTCAAAAAATTTTGTGTTAAAAATTTTTATGTTAAATATTTAACACTTTTTTGTGTTGATTTAACAGAATAAGTGTTAAATTTACACATAAAAGTGTTAAATATTTAACACACAAATTTTTAACACTAAGTTTTTTGATGCAATGACGCAAAATTTTTTACTGAGTACAGTTTATTAATCTTGTTTCATTTTGGAAATTTTTTTTTTCAAAAAATTGATTAAAAATCTTCGATTCAATTCTTTTGATGAAAAAACAAAAATTGTAATTAAAAAAAACTAAAAGTTAGTTAATATTGTACGGTGCTAGTATGTCTCATTAGACTGGCGATTAGAGAAAGACTGAAAGAGTCCAAGGCCTGAATAAAATATTTAATTGGCCAACGTGATAGAAAATTACCACATGGCAACTAAGACTGTTCTGTTGTGCCAGTCAGAATCCTCGGCTATTTAATTGCGTAAGAATAAGACTAAATTATTAAATTAATAATTTAATAATTATTTAAACTCTTATTTAATTATTAAGCAGTATGAAAATTTGTGATTGGCAATTTAAAGACTGATTAATGACCAGAGGATTCTGTCTCAAGGGATCGGTGCTACACTTAATTATTTTATGCGTTTATTTAGATATTTATTGAAAAAAAGCACTTGAAATGATAAAATAGCGCTCGTTTATTGCCTATTTTTAACATAAATAATCTGTAATATATTTATACTTTTTTTGCTTTTTTGATATACATTATATTTAAATTGATACTTTATATTTATAAATAAATTATAAAATAATTAATTAATATGTGATGGCGATGATTAACACGCATACAAAAAAGTGGCGTGGTAATTTATCGAGTTTAGTCAACAATTTTTATACAATCATTTACAATGCGTAATAACAAAAATATAATAATACATTTTTGTCCGCATTATATATAAATATTATAATACTATAAACTAAGGAATATGTATTATGAACAAATTTTTTTTAATTAATTTTGTTTTAAACACATTTACTGTTATTGAATAAATACCTCTTATTAAATTTTTTGTTATTAAATTGAACATTTTTTTCAATTTCTAAAAATTTTAAATAAATTAATTTATCTAAGGTATTTATTTTTTTAAAACTACACTAAAATTTTTTTAACTTTTTAAAAAAATAAATAAAGTATTGTCAATTTTACGTGCCAATGAATTATTTGAAAACGTAAAATTAAAACTATTTGCTGATTAAATAATTAAAGAAAAAAAAAATAAATGCACACAATTTAATCACATTTTAATTACAATTAATTGTTATTAAAAAAAGTCTTTTAACTGTTGAATTATTGCTGTAGATAATAAGTGTCCTGATTATGATGTATACCAAACACACTATACACGATATATTCTATATTAATGTTTCTTAGATTAAGATATGATAATAATGATAATTAATAATTAATACCGAAAAAAAAGCTCGAGTATAAAAATACCAGTGCCAATTTTATTTCTCAAACACTTATATTGAAGTGCACTCGATCGAGGCTAATGACTTTTCGATGCTTTTAAAATAAAATTCTTAAAAAAAAAAAAACAAAAAAAATGGATAATTAGTATCGAGAAGTCGTGAATAAATAATTCTTATAAATTAAATACAATCTAAATGTGATAATATATTTGCTATTAAAATCTTATATTATATTATATTAATGAACGCATTTATTACAGATATTGAAAGTCGTTAAAGAAATTTAAGTATACAGTTAATTAACGATTTAAGATAAAAGAACAGAGCCTCTATTATTTTGAAATAAATAAATTTAACTTGTTTCATTATTTTTGAATGCAAAGACGTACAAATTATTAACATTTATTTAATTATTTAATAAGCTCTGTTCATCTTCGTCCGACAGTTTAAAGTAAAAGTAAAATAATCTACACGGAAAGATTCTTTCCGTGTACTCATATTAATAAATATATATTATAATAAAAAATATTTATTTCAATAAATGAGAATAATAAGAACAATTAAGTATATAAATAAAAAAAATGAAATGTAAGTATACTCGAGTCGGTTCATTTATAATTTTAAATTATACAATAATTGTCTTCCTTCAGTGTTAAGTTAAATTTCAAAACTAATTTCACTTTTGATTATTAATTCAAGTACTTGAAGGTTTAATTGTTCATTTATAATTATGATTATTATCTGTATTAACAAAAGTTTCTATTTAAATTTTAAGTATATAAATAATTCAATGGATCGTTATCGCATAATATGCAACTGCATGTATGCTTCCATATATGTATACGAAAAAACAACAAACCGTCTTAAAAAAAAAAAAACTAATTATAACGTCTAATTGTGATTTATATCAATTACTCTGCTCGATAAATTTAATTTATTTTTTATTAGTTAATTAATTAATTGAGGTATTAATTAATTATTGTATTTATCAGAATGAGTAATTGGTATTAGTTTAATTAATGATTTGTATAGCCTAAGTCACCATTTGACTTTAGGACATAATAAAATTTCATTCAAAACAAAATATTGTCCATTTTTATTAGTAGATTTAGTTAAAATCTAACTATTGCAGACGTTCTCATGGCAAAACTTTTGAAAAATTTAGCTATTTTCTGACTCAGTTTGTCGAGATGAGTCAGAAAGTGTAGTTCGTTCAAAAGTTTATACATGTATATATGTACTACCGACGGAAAGTTTCCGGACTAGCTTCTTGTTTACTTTTTAATTTAAATTAAATATGATACATAAACATTAGGGTGTGCCAAAATGTAACTTCCTTGATGGATTTCTTATAATTGGAATTTTGAGTTCCGCTTTTAACAGGAGTTGTGTTTGGGGATTTCCTGACATATTTTGAGCGTAAAGGATATATTTGATTTTTATAGAATTTTTATCAGGAGTTTTGTTCGGCCATTTTTTCTGGAATTTAAAAATTTCAAAATTTAGCCGAATGAAACTCCTGTTAAAAAATTCTATAAAAATCAAATAAATCCTTTACGCTCAAAATATAACAGGAAATCCCCAAACACAACTCCTGTTAAAAGCGGAACTCAAAATTCCAATTTTAAGAGGTCCATCAAGAAAGTTACATTTTGGCACATCCTAATAAACACATTAACTTGATCTATAAAGAAAATGTTATGTTATTTTACAAAGTGTGTATGATCGTATCATTGACTTTCTTCTTGATTTATTTTATTTCTCATAATTTTTTTCATAAATTTTCATCTTGTCCGGAAATTTTCTCTCGGCACTATATATATTTATACGATAATATAACGCGGCTTGTCAGCACTATAGCGTTTTTAATTTATAACCGATTCTTCTCAAACTCAGCATGCTTTATCTATCGATAAAAACCAAGTATAAGTTCAATGATGAGCTTAATCGGACGAGTAATTTGGAAATAATGGAATTTTGAATTTTTTTAAATCGTAAAAATTGATATTTTTACCACTTCAACTTGGTATAGTTACTGAACTAGACAAGATATTGAAATTCGGTATGTTGCGTCGTAAAACTCTTTTATTAATCTTCAATTTTCACTCCTCAGAATTGGTAATAGCTTCAATATTACTCCTTTTAGAGTTCGTTGAATGAAACAGTTTTACTGTTGCAGCCTTTTTAGAATTATTGTAGCTTAATCATGATGTAAATTCAATAATTAGAATAATGATCAGTCTTTCGTGTAATGTGTTCGGGTAGGTCGTCTGTAAATATGTCACAAATTAGTTCTAAATATTGTTTTTTTTCAATTAAAATTTCATCCGGTTTCAAAATTCTGATTAACTTGGAAACTGTTGTTCCTAAGCAGTTACTTGAAATTTGGGCATTGATAATTCAAATCTCATAATCTTAAAAATTGTTTGATGAATATTTGAGAAACTTTTTCTTTACAAGATAGATTTTTGAACAAAAATAGTTTTAAATTTATTATTGAATTTTTTTTTAATCAATGAATTAAGTTATACATTATTAGTATTAATATGTTTTATTAAAAATAAATTTCCGTTCTTTGAGAAATCTACTTCCATTTCGGCTTCCGAATGGCATTTTATTAATTTATTTCAATTTTAATGAATTATTTCTTCTACGTTTAAATTTAAATCCTCAGTACCCGCATGAACTCCAAAACTTTTCCTAGAAATATTTATCTAAAATGGTATTAAAACGGAAATAAAAATTAGAGCTTAGAATATTTGTCTTCTTTTTAAAAATTTTATCCTCTACTGAAATGTCATAACATCCTTATCTAAAACGTTACATCATTCTGTAAATTTCAATAACCGTTAAGTATAATTTTCTTCACAGCTCAAAAACTTAAAAAATTGACCCGTTATATTTCTCTGTGACAAAGTAACAGAAATTGAATTTAATTACCGCAGATAATTCTCCAAGAAGCAATTAAATCTTGAGGTTATTTACCTTTTCCCAATTATTCTATCCGGTACCTGAATAAATTTTCAGCGAAGCTATAATTTAACCGGAAAATAATTTTAATTACAATTAATACCCAAACTAAACAAATTGGTTCTAAACAATGAAAGTTTTAACTTTTAAACTTCGAAATAATGAAAGGTTCTTTCGCATTAATTAATACCAATAAATTAGCCTTTATAATTAATGATCATTACCGGAAGTAAACTTTTATTCTTTCCACTGTCTATATCGTGGGAAATTTGATGATTTATTCGTCGCTCAACTTTAATTGTCTCGATCATTTCATTTTATATGATAAATATATTCCTCGGTAGTACACATGACTCATAACTCTTCTTTACATCAATTCACTTTATTTAATAAATTACATTTTTATGAATAAAGTTATTCAATCTGCAGCTCCATTCTTCATACTCCGTACATATATTTTACATTACTCCTAAAAAATAAATAAAAATGAATCATAAAAATCATCAGCCGTCAAATGACAGTACAACTTACTCATAAAATTTCTTCTTCATAAAAATAATACAATTTATTATTTAATCTTTAAATTTTATTTATTTTTTAAATTTGTTTATGTAAAAACAGCTAAATACTTTTCCGTCTTGAGTCCCCGGTATATTAATAATACAACAAAATACATGTATATAGTTAGATTCTGCAGAACAACAAGAGTGGGGGGGCCGCGGACCGATTGGAGGGGATTTAAAAGAGAAAGAGGAAAAGTTAGTCGCATACGTGTGGGCGAAGCTTCTGCTTGTAACTTTAAAACATCAGTTATGTTTTACACTCCAAAGTAACAAAACTACTTTATAATTTCAATTTCATTACAAAAAATTTAATTAAAAATTATTCACAGCTGAATATAGTATTAAAATTTCTAAAAAACTGAAAATGAAAATTTATCACCCGGCCATCTGTTGCAAGTGTTGAAAGATAACGTGAAGGCACTATACTAGTGAAGTGAAATAAAAAAAAATATTTAAAAATGGAAACAACTATCACATATTTATTGTTGTACTCTACACTACGCACGATATGCTTATGTATATACACTTGAGTAATTGGGGCAATGATTACGAAGTGCTATCTATTTATTTATTTATAAGTGTTTGTATTTCATTTCTTCTTGAACGCAAAAGTTTATAAATGTATGTATGTTTATTTTTGAGCTGATATTTTTTATATTATTTACATTTTGTCCATTTTGTTACAGACTTAAACCCAAAAAATGAACGTAAAAAATTACGTAAAATTCGAATGACACTGAAGTCAGCAGACGTTTAAAAATTTACAACTAAAAAGATATTTAAAAAAAAAAATGCACTTATAGTTTTTCAAGTTTTTTACATGTGAAATTTTTTTTTTTAATTGTTTAATTGAAATTTTTTCAATAAAAAATTTCTAAAAATTTTGAAATGTCGGCTAACTTTATTTTCATAAAATTCGACAGAGTATTTAATTATGAAATATGTACTGCGATGTACAATGGTGATATTTGACACGATATTACTGTGAGTCATACTAATATAAGATATTTATGGGTTCTTTTGTGCGCTACAAATGCACGAGTACGAGGTCGCGCTATGAAATCGCACGTGACGAACATTGGACATTTAAAAAAAAACAAGTTTTTATTTTATGAATCGGTGTATGTACTGCTGACAATTGTTGTTATTTTATTATTATGATTAATATTATTGTTGCATACTTTTATTTATAATTAATATATATTTATATTAGAAAGCCTGAGTAGGCATTTAAATAATAATGGAAGTGAAACCAGTTCCTAAGCCGCGCTCGCTAATACCAGAACGTCCAGTGCCAGCTCCTCGGAACCTCTGTCCGCCCAAGACTGTGAATCAGTCAGCATCAACGAGGTCCTTGAGTCCTAGTGAGTCATCCAGCCAGTCAGAAATGAGTGACGACCGCAGAAGTACGGAGTCTAGGAGCAGTTCCGAGAAAAATTTGTTCAAAAATCTCGGTACGTCTTCGCGACAACTCAAGGATGAATTATCTGAGAAGATGACTGTGAAGGGCAAAGCGATGATATCTAGCACGAGAAATGCAAGTATCAGGTTAGAAAAATCTGTGAAAAATTTACTGACTCGTCGGCTGACGTCCAGCCAAGACCAGGACGAGAGCAAGAAGAATGAAGACGACGTTGATAGGTGCGTATCGATGCCCGCAGGCTGCGATGACATTTTTAAGTCTATATCATTTTACAGCCCTCTGACATCTAATTTAAAGAGTGTTAAAAATGAACAAGACTTGACTGAAACTCGATACAGTCCTCCACCACCAGTTTACCCACCGCCTCCGCTTCCTGATGAATCGATCTACGACGAGCTTCAATCGGTTACTTCCGGCAGTAGATGTGGAACAATGTCGTCCAGTCTAAGTGTTTCCGATCGGCTTTTAGACTTTCCTGATACTGCTAGTCTCCTGAAGTTTGCACGAAATCGCAGCGATTCGGAGTCAAACCAGAGTTTGAATTTTTCAGACGCAAATTACAGTCAGAAAGAAGATATCATCAAGCGATTGTCACGCTCAGACTCTTGGACATTTTATGACTCGGCTTTTTCTGAGGACAGAAATGATAAAAATGAAACTGATAGCACGTTGGACACGATAGCTTCCAACGTTGAGGAAGAAGAGCCAATTCGCGAGCGAGTTAGTGATAGTTGTAACAGTGCCATGTCTGTTAGAAATTCTTTGTATGAAAATTGGAGTCTGTCGAAGACTGGAGACTCTGAAACGGATAGCAAAACTCGGAATCAGACGCACAGTAAATCTTTGTTGTTTGAATTCGATCCGTTTGCTAAGACTGAGGAAAATACGTACGGGAACTATGAGAACAATGATATGATGCTTCTGGAGGCTTTACTGGCGACCAGTGAGTCTCCGACCAGCGCTGGAAGTGTCACGGATTTGAGAGAATGTGACGGAGAAGAAGACACCGGAGAAGAGGATGTTGGAGTTGAAGACTCTGGTAGTCCGAATCAGGCTATGATTTCTTCACCACCGCCTCCTCCAAGACGGTTCGACTCATTGCCGAAAAATGAGTACGATGAAGTAGAGCTAGTAGAGGCCCCGGAGAAAGTAGTGGGCAAAAATCCAGCATTATTGCCGAAGTTAGTTCATCTTGCCAGAAGAAAACAGCCAGCGGTACCGCCGAGAAAGTCTTCCGTAAAAGTTTTAGACGAATCTGTGCTTGAGGAAGCTGCGAATCTGTCTTTGAGCAAGCCTGAGGAAGACAACAGTGTGCCGAAACCTGCTGAGGAACGGAAGAAGACGATGATGCAGAAGCTCAAGAAGCTGAGGCATGATTCGACGGCTCATGTCAGGCCAAATGTTATGAATTTTATGAAGAATTCGAAATTGCTGAGGCGTGAGCAACATGAAGTTAAAAAAGTCGCGGTTATGAAGATGGAGAGACCCAAACTAGAGAGCCAGGTTATTCCTGTTTGCCATCGTGGAATTGTTTATAGATCTGGAGTGGGCATGGAACGCGCTAAAGACTTGGTTCAACGGGCTGCAGTGCTATCTGATCAGAAAATAAGTTTTTATGTTGATAAAAGCATGGTTACACTCAAAGAAGTCATTCATCTCGATGCTGTTCAGAGTGTTCATTTGCTTCAAGATGTCAAGTATGTACAATTAGTTATCTTATTTTCTCTTAATAATATGTACAATTATTTGTTACGTATTCAAGGTTTATTAATAACAGGAAATGACGTAAAAAAATTTTTGAGCTATAAAAAATTGTTAGTGGTAATCGATTATAGTCTATAAGTCTGTAGCAGTGAATAAATATATTTTTATGGGTAATTTTATTGATTTGTTTATTTTCTACAGAACTGTAGACGGAGAAACGGTCCACTGTATCGCTGTAAGCTGTCAAGGCAGGCCAAGTGTTCACGTTTTTTACGCTAAAGGAATTACCGAACGCAGAATATGGGCTCAAAGAATTCTTGAAGCACTTACTCCCGTTTTTCCAGCTAAATACTCCGCAGAGCTAACGCGAGCTGGTTGGGCTTATCTCAAAGTAATTTTATTTTTAATCTTTCTACTACTTATTTATGTGATATGAATGTATAACTGTATATTTGTATTTATTAATCCTATTCAATTTAGTTCAAACAGTTCTATTCATCTGGATAGGACTTAATATCAACTATCTCCGTAACTTGATACCCTTTTTAAAACATAAGATTAAAAAGCCTCGTGTTACAAATTAAATTGATTTAAACTCTGAGATAAAGTTTTGTAAAATAATAAGATAAATTTTATCTAATAAAATAAATCTTTTTTTTTTTTTAGGAAGGGGTCACTGGATCTTGGTTTTCAGCATGGGTCTTGTTACAACAACGAACGTTAATTTATACACGGTCTTTGGATATTGTGGAATTCGAGCAATTAGACCTCCGTAAAGCACGTTGTATTTGTGAGTGCAAAATTTATTTTAATTTAACAATTTTTTATTGCTGATTACTGATCTGATTAAATTGACTACAGTTGCTTATTGCGATAAAATAATTTTTAGCAGAAAATTATATTACTGCTAGAAATATTTATTTACAACTCCAACTATTCAGTGCAAAGATAAAGAACAATAAAAATGAATAAACCTAAGACAATTTGTTATCAAAATAAAAAAAAAAAATCTGTTGATTAGAATGACAGTTAAAACGTAATAATTGAATGAATCATTGGACGTGCTGCAGTTGATGATAACTCTTTCGCAACAGTATAACATGAACGAATAACAAACTATCGCAGCATAGCAGTTTTGTCGGTACCGGATGTCGTTATATTGTTTACTTAAAATTTGTAAACTTATAATATAATATTAGTTAGTAAATATATATGCATAAAGCATGAATGCATTGAAATTACAATACCACTCATTATGACTACTGACTACTGACTATTAAACAAAACAGTTAAGTCAGAGACTAAACAGTCCACGACTATTGTTTCAGTCACGTTTCTTTGTGGCTTTCATTATACTCACTTATGCTTTTACTGGTTCACAGTCAGCTTAAATTTTTTATCTTTCTCTTTCTAAGTAATTATTTTCTTTGCTTAGTTGTTTTTGCTCACAATTGAGGTATTTGTTTTTAATTACAGTAATAAGAGAACAAGAGGGACCTATTGAAGGCGCCGGGAATATTCCAATAGTTGTAATAGATGCTGGTCACGGTGCATTACATTTAGCTGCTCCAGGAACTCGTGAAGCGCCGGCTTGGCGGCATGCGCTCCATCAAGCTGCTACTAGCTGCGGCGCTGGTTTGGATGAACAACAATTAACTCAAGATGATGTTCCAGTTATTCTTGATAAATGCATTAATTTTATTTACGCACACGGTAAATTTACTTTTTAATTAACGGTACTTTCAGATAGTAAATAAATTCTTTATTTAAAAAAAAAAAAAAAATAAAATAATTCAGTGAAATTTCTAAAAAGAAACTAGTCATTAATATTTTTTTAATCAAATTGAAATAATTTTTTTATTTCAATTTATCTATTTTATTTGTTTATTATTTTTAAAAATTACAGAAATTAATTATACCTATTTAATTTTTAAACTTTTTGTAAAAAGGTTGAATTCATATTAATCACAAAATTGAAATTTTTTAATCATACAAATAGATGAGGAAAATTTTTAAATAGACTTTGATAATTAGTCGATAGTTTAAACGCATTAAAAAATAATTTGGTTAATGATAATGAGTTTTTAAAAACTTTACAGCATTGAGCATGTTTCTATCAATAAAGCAAAATACTATATCAATTTTTGAGTATTTAATAGATGATAGACAATTTTATAATCATAACATAAGTAAATAAAATATCAGAACTTTAAAATTTAGTAAGGTTAAAAATTTATAATTTTATTTTTTTCTATGCTAGATTTTTTTATCTATTATTCAATAATTCTCTATATGAGAGATTTTATATCTCTATTTTTTTATATTTTTAAAAACTTAACTACACGGAAAGAACAAGATGACACTGGATATCATCCCAGATTATACTCAGTAATATCTGTGGTGAAAAAAATTTCAGATAGTAGCTAGAAAAATCCAGATTATACTACGTGATATATGGATTATACTCATTGTAATCTGGATTGTACTAGCTACTATTTAAATTTTTTTTTCACTCAATATAATCTGGGATGATATCCAGTGTCATCTTATTCTTTCTGTGTAGTTTCCCAGAAATTTAACTTTAAAGAATTAAATTATTCAGTTTTCAATTTTAGACTTCTCAAATTAGATTTTGTACTCTTATTGTAAACAAGAATTGTTTGTATACATTCGTCTGTTGGATACGGTTGACAATCTGAACGGAAAATATTTGTTCATTTAAAATAGTTAGGGTGAATGACGAAACCCATTTCCCGGATATAATTTTACACGCACGATGAATTAAATGCCCACGCAGTAACACGCTTTACAATCAGAATACATATGATCAATTTTGTCCCAACAAAAGTCGAAAAAAAAAAAAAAAAAATTCAGTGTCAATATCACTGCGTAGATAGATAAGATAAAAATGAATGAACTGTTTAGTAAAATTCCTTGGGCTTAGAAATAACTTTAATCTGATTCAATGATTAAATAAGTAATGTTATAATACAAATGTTTTAGGAATAATGTCTGAAGGAATATACAGAAAAGGAGGTTCAAGCAGCGCTGTCGTTCGATTACTGGAGGCGTTCAGAAGAGATGCGTGGGCGACGCAAATTATCCGTAGCTCTTACTCCGAGCATGACGTTGCCACAGTGTTGAGAAGATTTCTTCGGGACTTACCCGAGCCGATTATTCCACCTTGTGTACACAATGAACTCTGTCGCGCATCTGGTAATATGACAAGATCTTTATTGGTGATTGTTTATAAAATATCACACAGTTGACCTATTTTATTATTGTTTTTATTATCATTTGTACTGATGAATGCAATAAGTTAATAAGCGAACGTTGAACTCAGGCATGCAAACCCATTCAACCGCTTCAAAGTCTGTTCTTTATGATTTATTTAATGAAAATAAAATAATATTAATAAAAGAGAAGGGAGAGAAGAATAAATTTAAAGATTCAATTCTTTTCTCTTGTTCTGCTGGACTATGGAGGCCGACTGGATATGATTCATTCTGTAAATCCCAGAACTTACTGACGCATTTATTTTCTACCTTTTTAAAAATCTATTCAATTATTTGTACTTTGATCTTTTGTTTACTCAATAATTACCAGCAATCTCCAGTCATTACATTCAAATAAACGATGATTAAAATTTTTAGTAGATTTCATAGAAATCTAACTATTGCATCATCGATCCTCATGACGGAACTTTTGAAAAATTTTGCTATATTTCGACCTAACTCAACGAGCTGAGTCAGAAAATACATATGGTTCAAAAGTTTATGTATGTATGTATTTTAGGGTGGCCCAAAAAAACCGACTATTTTTTTTTTTAATCTCGAGTGAATAAATGTTAGTTTTTGATGTTTTAAGAGCTCTCTCCAAAGGACAGCTCAAAAAAAAATTTTTAAGAGGTCGCTCCAAATTTTTTAAAATTTTAAAAATCATCAAAAATCAAATTCTTTTTTTTAATTTTTTTTCTCGTTACGATATAATTTTAAAGACTAAAAAAAAAATAAGTTTCTGAAAATTTCAGTTCAAAATTAAAATTTTGAAAGGTCGCTCATAATTTTTTTCTTCTTTAATTAATTATTATTTAATAAGCCTTAATTTGAGTACTATATCATATATGTAGCCTTAAAGTTAAGTCCTATTTCGCTATGCCAATTATGAAATTTGCTATTGCATTCGTTTTATAAAATTTTCATTTTTTTTTTTTATTAGAAAACTTTGATTGTAATGATTACAATAAAAATCGTACGTTAAAATCTAATTGTAATTTTGATTAATAAGTAATAAAATGAAATCTACTTCCGTTTTGGCTGCCGAATAGCCTTTTTTTTTTTTTTTTTCTTTTATATAATATGAACACTTATTTCGGATATTTAATATTTTTTTTTTTCAAAATTAAAAAAAAATATTTCCTGAACAATAATAATAATAGATTTATTTTTTTTACAGATATTGAGGATACTGACGAACGTTCTAATAAATACCGATCAATTTTGATGCCGGTGCTAAACGAAGTCTCGAAGAAAACCCTAAGGCGGATATTGGCACATTTACACTGCCTGAGTCAGCAGAGTTCGAGGAACCTGATGACTGTAGAAAATATATCCGCGGTATGGGGACCCACTTTGATGCACGCTGGAAGTAAAAGTGCAGAAGATTGGAACCGTGCTGAGACCAGTGTCGTCGGAGATCTAATACGATTTTATCCAAAATTGTACCAACTTTCTGCTGACGATTTAGCCAAGGAAGCGAAAATTCTCGAAGTTTTGGAGAGACATGTTGCTAATAATGGACTTAGGGGCGCTCCTTCGGGTGATTTAAAAATTTGGATCTATTTGTTTACCAAAGATGGAGAGTGTGTCAATGTCACGGTAACTTTTATTTGCTTTTAAGAACTATAAATATTTTGTTAGCATAAGTATGACGTGAAGATTAAATTGAGAGTTGGTTTTAAAATAGATTGGCCCACAAAAAAGCGCAGCTGATGTATGCAGAGAACTGTCTGAAAAAGCTCAAGTACCAGCTCATGAATTATGTCTACAAGAGTGTACATTAGGAGGTGCCCTTGAGCGTCCGCTGCATCACGCGGAGAAAGTATTGGAAGCTGTTGCAAGATGGGGATACTGGGACCCAGAAGATCGTAAAGACAATATTTTGATCCTGAAGAAGGATCGTCTCTACAGAGATATTGTGCCTCGGGTAATAAAATTTGGTATTCATAGTATTTAAATTCATTGACTCTGCATTGGGTGTGTTCAATGTGTGAAAAAATTGCGATGGGAAACAGCGTGAATGTTGGGTGAGTTCATGGTCGCGGGAGGCAAGTGAATTTAAAATTCTCGGTTACGAATGATTATGAAAATAAACCAACAACTTTAACTGGGAACCAGTATAGATCAGATTATACGGGTTACAGTGAAAGGAGTGTTGAGTGATGTAAACAGGATGTAGCTTAATTGGACTTGACCGTGTAACTCACAGATACTGACGTTCAATGTACTCCCTAGTTTCCAGCACACCATAAATTTATCATACTTCCTTACTTAAATTTCATTTATGTCTTACTTTTAATACACATTAACATTTTTTGCACATAAGGGTTAGTTTTAATTATTGAGAATTTTTTTTTCACATTAATTTCAAGTTTTTTTTTTATTTTTTATTTTAATTAATTTCTATATGAAATTATCTCAGATAATTTTTTCAAGGGAGATAGCCACTGTGAAGATCGAAAAAATAGGTGATTTTCGGGAATTTTTTTGACTGGGATAATAAAGGAATTTGGGGATTGTTTTTTTTTGTTTTATCAAGTATACATTAAAAATTATTCTCCTAAATTTTTATTAAAAAATATCGTGTTGTTACAAAGTTATTAGCATTTTTGTGGAGCATTAAAAAAAATTCCCCCACCACGGTGTGATATCTAACTCAAAAACGGATTCTCTAAAACAAAAAAACGAAACAGCGTTGAAATCTGCATGCATGTGGTTATCGTTACACGTAGGGAATTTTGAAAATTTGAATTAAAAAAAAATGGCGATATTAAAAATTTTTTCGTTTTTTTTTTTATCAATTTTTTGGATTCAAATAGCCCTAAAAAATTTTTAAAATCAAAATTTTCAAAATCCCCTACGTGCAACGATAGCTACTGAATAGACGAATACGAAAAAGAAAAAAAGTTGCAAATCGGTTCATATTTATTAGGGTGGCACAAAAAAACCAACTATTTTTTTTTAGAAAACCTTTTTTTTTTTTGGCCTATAAAATTATGACGTAACGAGAAAAAAAATTAAAAAAAAAAAAATTCGATTTTTGAAATTTAAAAAAATTTGGAGCGACCTCTTAAAAATTGTTTTTTAAGCTGTCCTTTGGAGAGAGCTCTTAAAACATCAAAAACTAATATTTTTTCACTCAAGACCCAAAAAAAAAATAATATTTATGCAAATTACAGTTCCCAATAGTTTAAAAAAAGTAGTTTCAAGAAAAACGCGTTTTCGTCGGAATGCCGCGCATGCAATGGTCATTTGACACGCTGTCACAAAAATGACTATAACTCAACAAATATTCGGAATTTTCAAATAAAACTCTAAATACATATTCTTGAATGTATAAACTTTGATTTAATAAAAAAAAAAAAATTTTTTTTTGAAATTTTACAGTGGCTATCCCCCTTAATAAGTGAAAGTTGAATTGCAATTTTAGTCTTTATAATCTAAAGAATTGTTTTGCAATGACAGTAACGTTAATATTTATTAAATAAATATTATTACAGATAAAACCACCGATGACAATATCAGGAGAGCTGAAATTCGCCGACACAAAGTCCAAGCATTTCAAGTCATACTTATTTGAATTCAGTCAAGCAAAATTATGCTGTTACAAAGACAAAGCATGTGCAATTAAAATCCATGAGTGGAAAATAGAAGACATTATCTGGTATTTAGGCCACGAACCCAAAAGGAATCCACAGTCGGGGTAAGAAAACTTGTCATTTTTTTTTTTAAATAACTTTATTAAAATTAAAACTCTAAAAAATTATTTTAGATGGTCCATCACATTCCTTCTCAAAAACAAAAAACCTACAAGGTAATTTAATTTTATTAATTATACATTCGTTTTTTAATACCATTTCTAATAAAAAAATTTTCTTAATTTTAGGTGCAAAGACAGTCCATTTTTCGGAAATGTTCTAGCCGGTGTTTCTGTGGTCGATCAGTACCGCTGGCTGGCTGCAATGCTCTTTGGCGAGCACCAGCTAAACCTTCTACCCTCAGCGATAAACTTAATGGATCCTTAATTATTGTATCCGATCCACCTAATTTTTTAAGTACATTAACGTAATTTACATAATTAATTATACATTTTTATTAAATTAATTAACAAACAGTAACTTTTTACCTCAACGTAAATATTATACCATTTACATTAAGTAAATTTATAAATTTAGCTGTCTGTGATTGGCAAATCATTCGTGTAAAGTATTATATACGTAGATCTATATTCTTTTATTAATATTGTCATTATTATATATTTATATATATTATAAAAAAAAAAAGTTATAATAATTAAGAAGTTGACTTATTTTATACAAATATTTTAAATGAATAAAATTTATAATAAATTTCTAAGAAAATTAATTAAAATTCTAATGAGCATTGTTCACTCCACATCAGTAATATCATTTACATATTTTAATCTTATTAAATATTAATTAATTACTATTAACTATACAAATATTATTTTATTATTAAAATACTGAACATTGACGTATGACTAAAATGGACGTATTAAGACTACTTGTGATGGTATTGGTAATTAATAATTAATAATTATCATTGTAATTATAATAAATTAAAAAAATATATATCATGGGTGTCATCGTCTGTTCAAATTAGGGTTGTAAATCGGCCTCGAATCGAGAGGAGCTCGTGTGCTCGATCTCACTTTAAAGTACTGAGGCCGTTTGTCGCGCGTGCTCCAATGGAGATAGCAATACCATCCGGCGATAATTGCCCCTAAGGCGTTACATATCGAAGAGAAGATTAGCAAAATAGTTAAGACGCCTTCAACTTCAGGACAGTTGAGATCAACGTACTTGAAAACCGGCTCAGAGGTACTTGCAAGCTCGCTACGTGATCTGCATGCACACGTCGCGTTTATTACACGCGCTGGTGTGCATTCTAATCCGCTCAGTCTTATCAGGTGAATTGCGGATGTGATGCAGGCTACTAGACACGTTATTGCTGCCAGCGCAGCCAGAAAGAAGCTCATTACTTTGGTTGCTGTTAAACAGAACCCTGGACTTAAACCTGGGTACTCTTTTTTGAAGCAACATAGCAAACATATTCCGAAACTTCCTGAGAAGAGTAACTGTAACAATGGTTTCATTTTTAAAGATTATTGTAACTAGTTTATTGTTTTTTGCTTTTAGTTTTAATTGTTTCAAGTTTAAATCTATTACCGGCATTCCGCTCCAGTATGGATTGTCCATAAATGGCAAATTTGGTGCCCATAAGAGTAACCAAAGTGATAGAGAGGTCACTGCTATCCCAAGGATTGTTTGGATTGCTGCTAATGTACTTGATAGTTTACGCCGACGTAGAAGTGGAGGACGTGATTTCCTTGGAACTGTGGAAAAATATTTTTTAGATGATTAGTTTTATTTTATTTTAAACTAAATTTTTTTTTAAATTTACACAAAAAAAAATTTACTTGAATCAAGTAAATAATTTTGAAGAATTTCATCTTCTTGGTTTGAGTTGAAAAATTATTAAACTAAGAAATTTTACTTGATTCAAGAATTTTTCGTCTTGATTCAAGACAATGAACTTCTTCAAAATTATTTTTTTGTAAATTTTTTTTTCTGTGTAGTATTTGTATTTAATACTAAAAAAAAAAATTAATAAATAAATTTATTTACAAAAATAAAAAATTTTATTTTAAGGAGAGAGTGCATGTAAAATTTTGAAAAAAATCAATTTTTTTTTCCAATAATCTGAAAATTTAGTATGTTGAGCATGTACTGACGACAGGAAAAAATAAAATCTCGAATATTGACGAAGTTATAGCTAATATAATGGAGCGGGCCGGAGTGCGTAATATAACTTTGAACGCGATTTTCTCGAAACTTTATTTTTAAAAACTACTCGTGTTGTAACTCAAAAAATTATTGATCGATTTGTTTAAAAATTTAGTGAGGCTTTTCTCTTTATTACTATCGGAAGGATAAACCTAAAATTTCAGATATTTTGCGTTGATAAAATACTTTTTTGTAGTCAAAAAAATTGCCCTAAATTCTGACTTTTTCTTCAAAGGATTATTTTATACTTTTTTTTTTAATTTTAAAGATTGATCCTTTCCGTTGATATGTTCTAAAAAGAGAACACTTTAAATTTTTTGTTTCAAATCAATGGTTAAATGAGTGATAAATAGAACAGTTTGGAATCTTGCGTCGGAGGCAGCAAACAAATAATTATCCCGAGCCGCTATTTTGAAAGAAAAAAAAAATTACTTTTGTACTCTAGAAATAAAAGGTTTAATAAAGTCGTGTTAAAGTTTAAAAATAACAAAATTATTTTATCACCTTTAAAATTATTTTTAAAAAATGACCGATTTCGTGGCTTTTACATGGACTTCCCTTCATTAAACTAGATTTTTTTTTTTTATTAATTACACAAAAAAAAAATTTACTTGAATCAAGTAAATAATTTTGAAGAATTACACCTTTATGGTTTGAGTTGAAAAATTATTAAACTAAGCAATATTACTTGATTAAAGAATTTTTCTTTTGATTTAAGTAAATTTTTTTTCTCTGTGTAGTATTTTTATTCAATACTAAAAAAAAATTAATGATAAATAAATTTATTTATAAAAATAAAGAATTTTATTTCAAGTTAATTAGTAAAATTAAATTTTCCATCTTGTTAAAAAATAAAAAAGAAAATTCTTTGCTAAAAGGATTTAAAAAGTGTTAAATACACAGTTCAATTATCCATGAAAAAAAATTACTTAGTCATATTTCAGTTGTTTCCTCATGAATAATTAAATTAGACACGGAGCGTTACTTCCACAATTACAATCCTGAGCGATCACTGACACGTGTTTCGTTAATATTCCAGTAAAAAAATACAAATTACAAAACAGGTTCATCCAATAATTTTTTTCCACCCATTTCATTTCATTTTTTTTTTTTTTTTCAAGCTCAAAAACCCATTTCAATACTTAAAAAAAAAAAAAAAAACAGCAACCCACGTCTAGTTGCTCTCTCCTAACATTAGAAGTAGAATAAAAAAAAATAAAGTAGTCGAATAAAACAAAACTGGTTCCTGAGAGTTGAGTGTGTATGTTTCCGGTTCACTCGAGCATGAGGTGTATTGTGTTGCGATAAAAATGACAACAGAAAAACTTTTATGAATAATAAAACCCAAGTCCGGCTCAAGTATTTTATCTTGTTTGACATAAAAAGTCTAAGAACAAAAAACAATTAAACTATAAATTAAAAATCGTCAAGTTGAGAAATAGTTTTAATTACGATAATAAACTTTAACTACAAATAACATATTATATTTTGTGTTAAGAAATAATGAACGATTGTTAATTATTATTTATCGAGTATCTCGTCCTCATTTTCATCGCTATCACCAAGACAATACAAATTAATTAAATATAAATATAAACTATTGTATTACTTACTGTTACCAGTGCGATGCATAACAATCATTCTACTGTGCCTCAAAGAACTACGCGTAGGCGTATGTCTTCCGGCGATTTGTGAGGCTTTCAAATTAACGGGAACTGTCGTGGATAAACAATTAGCCATCGATGGTGCTCTGTCACAATTATTACTTTTCATAGTTTTGTTATCTTTTACAGGTATACTCCATCCAATAGTCGCCGCACCTAAATAATTAAATTCCATTCCATTCAAATTACTTTTTTTTTTTTTTTTAAATTTCTCACTCTCATTACTCATCAACATTATAATCAGTATTCAATTAATTCATCCAAGAAATGTAATTTATAACTCTAATTTTAATATTAATTTTAAAATTCCTTACCCCAAAAAAAAACGTCATTTAAATTTACAATTTACTATTTTATAAAATGACAGTCCTTGTTACGGATTAAAATTCACGGCCATTTAATTTATTATTAATAATATTATTATTTATATAATATTACCTTGAGTTTTCGGAGCACTTGCAGGTGTATTTACTTGATTGTTATTATCCTGTAACTCCAACTCAGTTGCGGAAATTGTCATTTGATTCGAGTCACCGACACTCATCGTGGACGTAACACACGGTGGCATAGTCGACGTGTCCTGCATAAAAATTTAACAGCCGTTTATTCGTTTATGTATTTATTTACGTCTTTTTAACAATTTATTTATACTCCAGTACAATAAAATTATAATAAAATTTAAATACGAATAGTGAGTTATTTGAATTAAAAACCAAAACAGACGCACATGACCACAAACTGACCTTGAAGTCGTTGTACAAACTATCAGCTTGCGTTGTTAAGTTACACTGGATGCCTGTTGAATCCTCCTCCTCATCCTGGTTTTGCACCTGAACCTGAGCGCACGGTGGTGGTGAACCGTCAGCCCAATGCGCGCGCATCTTCTTAAACATTCCGGTGCTTGTTTTTCAATTTTATACTTCAAAACTCACAAGACAATTAGATCCTGTAACTTAAATAAAATTTTTAATTAAAAATATTAAATGTTTGTAATTAAAAAAAAATTTTTCAACCTACTTACCCGTCACAGGATAAAATATGACAATAAACAATAAACTTAGCAGTCTCTTGATAATTTTGACAAATTAATTTTTTCTGAAAAATTACTTTTAAAAAATTGCATTTTTAATTTTTTTAAATTGCTACATGTCAATTTTTTCTTCTAATTTTTTTTGCCACAATTTATTTGTTAAAAAAATTATCAAATATCTGCTAAATTAATTTTTATTAAAATGTGAGTCGTGTTATAATTTATCTTCAATTAATAAATGACTTATTTCCATGCTAGATCTGCACAATGTGAATAGGTAGATCACGCATTGTGCGAATATGTTGTCATTATCTTTCTCACTCTCCGTATTTTTATTTCATACACTCATATTACGCAATTATATCGTGTAAGTACACACATGTACGACTCGATATTTTAGTTGTACAATCGAGAACACGACAAATGCCAAAGCGTGAAAGTAAAACTTGCTCGGTAATTTTTCTAATAAAAAAAATTATTTATTATTATATTTTAATAATAATAATATTATTATTATTATTTAACTTCTTTTTCTTCGTCTTCTTCTTAATGAATTTTTTCACCTGAAATTAAAATTATTTAGTTAGTATTTTTAATTAGATACTGAAAAATACAAGGTGATTTTTACTATATATTATTAATGACGTTAATTCGATGGTAATTAACAGCAACACGCGATTTAAATGACACATTTTTTATTATTCATGACACGATAGATTTTTTGTTTAGTTTAGTTATTTAAACTAGTGTTTATCTATTGACAGTTTAATGTGTCTAATTGTCTAGTCTCGTTAAAAAACGTGCCAGAATATTTATAAACCTAGACAGCGGCGATCTAAGTATATGTATACAAATATAAAAATAAATAAACTTATAATTTAGCACTATGTAAAAAAAAAATTATAAATACCTTCTCTATTTTATTTAAAAATTTATTTTTTCAGTGACACTTAAATTCTTTGGATGTTTGTGATTATTTTGCTGAATTTAATTGCAATAAATAAATGTGCGAAGATGTATTTATGAAAATAACAGAGTAAATTCTATTTGAATAGCGACGATGTCATTTGAGCGGTATCACGATGACAACTGAATGAACGTTAGACCAGCTTAATGTCTATAAAAACCCCACCAGAATATAATATTTAAATATTCAGACGGAAATATATATGATTAACTCTTCCTCAGGTTGTAAAACGTGGGTATCTGTAATGAAAATAAAGAATGAGTAATAGTAATAATAATAATAATAATAATAATATTGATAGTAGTAATAGTTTAAATAATAATGAAAGGTATCTGGAAACTATCCGATCTATTGCGCAGATATTTTATCATAAATATTCAATAATTCTGATGATAGAAAGTTTATTGCAGAAACTATTTTAAAATTATCTGGGATTCAAGAAGAAAAATAGTTTTAGCTTTGACTTAACGTTATAGTTTAATATGTTTATGGGTTTGTAAACAAGCATATAAGAAGTCTGTTTAATTATCTGTCAAGTTTTATTGACCAGAGTCTTAAGATAAGAATATCTTGAGTAAACAAAAATTGATAATTTGTGTTTAAATGATGGAAAAATAATAATAATTATTGTTTGTTTATTAATGAAAATATATGTATATACTTATTTTTATGAGTGAGAACCGCTGACTTTCACTCCATTGAAGAGAGAGAGGGATTTAAGTTTTCAATGGAATTCCCGGATTATTATTGATGCCTTGAGCTACTTTCATTGTATTTTTTTTTTAATAATTGATAATACAAAGTTTCCATCAATTATTAATATAGTCCAGGTAATTTTTTGCAGTTCGAATTCATTCAATAATGAACAGAAAGTTGTTTGGAATCTTTGTATATTTTCTATTAATCAAACAATTCTTTTTTTGTGAATCAATTATCGATCCGTTCATTAATACATCCCATCAATTATTTATAAATAAATTTCACAGTATTTATCAGTAATTTCTATTCTAACTTGTTGTCTTCATTTTTCAGAAATTTCTAAAACTGAAATAGATTTGTTTGATTTAAAATATTTGTTTCCTGATTAATATAGATAAAAATTATAATGAATATTCTGGAGAATAAATAGATGATCTAATCAATTTAATTATTTTCAAGGAATAAAACTTCATATGACAAAAAAAAACTGTCACAGACATATGTTGACGTTTTTAATGCTTGTTTTTCTTGAGGCGTTTGATGAAACGTGGCTTAAATTATATCTTCATTAATGATAACATTTATTATTAATTATTGAAGAACGACATTTAAATAAAACGTGTTTCATATTCATAGGTTTACTTTGAAAAAAAATATTTTCAAATTAATAATTATACAATGAAATATTGCATGTCTTGGTGTTCAGATGACTTAATTATGATTAAATGTCTCACGTCTTTTACATTCACCTCTTAATTAATTGCGACCCTGGATACAAAAAATATGAATCTGCTGTTTCTAGAAGTTTTAATTTTTTTTACGACAATCTTGGATTTTTTTTTATTTGCATTTTCGCGGCTTTGATAAATCTTAACTAATATTTCTTCTCAGATTTTTTATTTTCTATTTTGACAATCATCAACGTCGTAAATTTTCTCTTCAAATCTTTTCTTTCAGTATTCATGATCTACCCTCTTCAATTTATCGGATACTGTCAAAATTACCTGAAAAATAATATCTTTTTAATTAGCTCTAAAAAACATGATACTGAAATCAGCAGTCATATGATATCTGATATTTTTTAATATTTTTATACCAAAAAAAAATTTTTTTTAATTTGCGCTCATAATTTTTTTCAAATTTCTACAGGTGAAATTTTTTTCATAATAATTTAATTGTTATAAGAATCCAAAAAATTGTAATAAAACGTCCATCGATTATAGTATCATTGAAAAACTCGCAATTTAATAAATGAAAATTAAGTTAGCCGGCGTCTGAAAATTTTTAGAATTTTTTTTATTGAAAAAATTGTTACAAAAAAAAATTTTTTTTAATTTCATTCTTAAGAAACTTGAAAAACTATAAGTGCAATTTTAAAAAAATATTTTTTAGTTTTAATTTAATAAATGAAAAAAAAAAAATTATAAACGTCGGCTAAGTTTAGTATTATATTTTTAAGGGGTTGTATCCACTTGTGATTTTCAAAAAATCGATTTTTTTTTCATTTTTTGAATGTACATATATTCAAGAATATTCTCTGAAAATTTCAAATCGATCCGACAATTAGTTTCGGAGATATGAGCGTATTAGTAAGAACGTCTCCGAGCGTTCGAAAGTAGGCGGAGCACGAGCCGGAGTAGCAGCTGTTTCTTGTAGCTTCTATCCTTTTGTTCTCGACTTATATTGTGTTTGGGACCCTAAAATAATAATACAAAGGTTTAGTTTATACCTGAAACCTATGTTGAGGAATTTTAGGTTAAAAATATGTGAACTCATCAGTTAGAAGTGATCTTCCACGTGGACAAGTTGTGTTTGTACTCGGTTTGTGTATTTCTCAGTGTGTATAGTTCAATTAATTAAAGTAAAAAATGCCTCGTAAAGTTAGCAGAGAAACTCGCAGAATTTCCAAAGAACGTTTGGATCGAGGAAAGAAACGGAAGAACGTTTTTAATCCGAAAACCGTGGAATATGATGAGAGCGCAGTTTCAGCGCCTCAGCAAAAAAATTTAAAGCGCAAGAGGAAATATGTGTAACTCGTGATACGTCAGTTGAATATAGAATTTTAAATTTTATAACTGTGTTTACGGCTATTAGTGAGTATGTATTGTGTAAAACTTGCGGTGAGCCAGTAAAATTTGAAACAGCATCAGAACGTGGACTTGGTTTTAAAATTGTTATCTTATGTGATAAATGTAGTCCTCGTAGTGTAAACTCTTGTAACTTTGTCAAACACTCGTATGAAATAAATCGACGATTTATATTTGTGATGAGAACCCTTGGGTTAGGTTTGAAAGGTGCTACTCAATTTTGTGGGCTAATGGACATGCCAGCTTTTTTGCTCCAAACTTCATATGATATGATCGTTAAAAATATCCACGAATGTGTGTAGTGTAAATCGTTCCCGAAACTTTAAACGCGCTTATTTCAAAACCGTGTTTTCAGAGTCGGTGGCCAAAATTTCTCCGAAACCGCTAAACCGATCGGTTTGAAATTTTCACACGACTTACTCAGATATATTTTTCAAGTAATGATCGAAGGAATAAGGTTTTGGACAATAATTTCGATTTTTTAAGCCCTTTTGAAGTGAAAAATTTTCATGAAAAACAGAATTTTTTTTTTTGAACGCCCGCCATTTTGTCAAAAATCAAAATTTTCACTAGACCTTCGATTATTACTTGTATTTATTTATTACAAAACTAAATATTTTTGGTTTTTGGTTTTCAGATAATTTGGACCAGAGATATCTTGGCCACCGCCAAGCACTTTTTTTTGGAGGTCACTCCGCAGATCATCTACAGGAGCTAGGGGATCCAATATTTTTTTAAATAAACCGCTGATTGTTAAAGTACATTAAATTCTGTTTAAGTACATTTTTTCCATTAATGTATAAAATAAAATGCCTCTTTGGAAAAAATTCACAAAAAAACGCGTTTTTTCTGCCTCGCAAGTGGATATAATAACCCCTTTATTAAAGTTAGCTGTCACTTGACCATTTTTCAATTTTTTTAACAAAAAAATTTGTTCTAAAAAATTATTTTTTAAAAATTGCATTTTTTAATTTTCAAAATCTCTACTTGTCAATTTTTTTTTATATTTTTTTTTGCTATAACTTATTTGTTACAAAAATTCTTAAAATTATTGAGTGTCTGCTAAGTTTATTTTCAAAAATTTTTGATTTTTGTTTTTTAATTAAATTGCAATTAAAAAAATATTTTTAAAAAATTGCACTTATAGTTTTTCAAGTTTTTTACATATGACAATTTTTTTTAAAATTATTTTCATATAATATTTAATTATAGTTTCCTCAATAATAAAAATAATAAATAAATACAAACTAATTTTTTTATATGACAGAATTTTCTAGTAGAACTCGCATCTGATTGCTGGCTCCATTTTCGAACTTTGAACTGCGCCATCTAGCGAGAGAGTACTAAATTAAAAAAAAAAAGTTACTATTATTATTATCATTATGATCTTATACAGTAGATGAAAAATGATCCCAGCAGTAATTGTAGTAAAAAACATGTATACTAAATATGGAATATGACACAAGGCTAATTATCAAAAAAGTCAAAAAATATCATGGCCAATATAAAAGAATAGTTGTTTGTGTTTATTAAAAAAATTCTTTTTTAACCTGCGAATGTACAATTTATTTTTTTAAAGTGTCTGTTTTATAGTATATCCATAAAACAATATAAATAAATACAACCGAAACGGAGCAGTTATATACATATGTTTATAATTCGTCTACATGTGTTGTGCGTACATGTGTAATGCAGTGAGAATCAATGAGATTGGCATACGAATCAAAATCACAAGAATTAGCACTGCACTGAGAAACGTAAAAAAATAAACAACAATATAATCAAATAATTAATAAGTTTATAAAATAATAATTTACAAATTAATTTTTTATCAAGTGTTTTAATGTAAACACATACTTAGTAGTAAGATTTATTATTTACACATTAAATAATATTTTTTTTATTGCGAATTACTGTAATTTAATTCTAACGCAACACTCATACCAGGTAACCTAAAATAATGTAAAGTCGACGAACCGCGAGCTTGTACCGTTTTATTATACTCTTTATTTATAAAATAATAATAGTATTTATTTCTGCAGGTATATCAAAAATCTTGTAACTGAAGAAGACAAAATTGAAATTATCTGTTTGCTGGCGATAATTTGTGATTGCTGTTTGATAGATGAAAATACTGAGGATTAATCAGCAGAATTGTTCGCTGCTGTACCTAGATGCCACGTAAAAAATAATTAAAGGTGGTAAGCTAAGTGAGACCATAGTAAACCTGTGGGAATGGGAGCTTGTTTGTGTAAAGACTGTCCAGATGGCCAAGAAAACGGAAACAATGAAAATAACGAGGATACTACCGTCCCAAGTATTGATAGTCATGCTGCTGGTGATCAATCGCCTGATTTTAAATTTCCGACGTCTGCTAACATCGATAAGTTGGTGCTGGAGACTCTGGGAGTCATCGGCGGCCTTGTTGACAAGTAAGTTCACTTAAGCTTGGATTCGTTTTGATTGTTAATTAATTGATTTTATTTTAAATTAGTGAGCAAGAACCTCCACCGTCGATGCTCAAACTCCACGCGATTGCTGACAAAGAGGAAGGATGGCTCCAAGTCGCTAGTTCTATGGTCAATGTTATTCCAATGCATAGTCCTTTAGGTGCTTCAGTTATTACTTTACTTCTTGATGATTGTCCGTTACCGTCTAAGGTAGTTCTAATTTATTTATTTGTTTGTTCAATTGAGTGATGATTTAGTTTTTTAAGTTTGGAGAAAAATTTTCTGGTAATTATTTGTTTTTTTTTTATATTTAAACTTAGGAAACTGTATTGAAGTTGTCTCACATGTTTCAAGTTTCTCAAAAGACTGGAAAAGTACAAACGAGCATAACACAGCAGAGAAATATCTGTGTTGTACTTGGTTGTATTGCTGAAAAATTGGCAGGACCCAGTAGTATAGCCTTATTGTCAAAAGCAACCTTAGACTACCTCGTATCGAATCTTGTAAGTATGATGAATAATTATAATAATAATCTGATGTAAAATCAAGTATTTATTTATTTATTTATTGAATGATTTTAGAGAGATGTGGAACCTTATGTGGTACTATACTCATTAATAGCTTTGGAAAAATTCGCCCAGACCAGCGAAAATAAAGTAACTATACAGAGAAGACTTATGGAGGAAAAAGAACACCCTTTATTAGCTTTAGAAAAATGGGCCGATGAGACTCATTATGTACGTCGTCAAGTTGGCTTTTCAGCTCAGTGGTGTTTGGATAATTTATGTATGTTTATTTTTTTGTTTCTTTAAAAAATAGCACTGCTGTATCATAAATGTTTAGTATTTGATAAATCTCCAAATAAAAAGTTGGTTTGGTAAGATGTGAAGCCTTGTTGCTAGGCAACGGTTGCTATGGGGGTTTCTATGGCGGCGTTGTCTAGGAGGGAGGTTGTAATGGGGTCTTCTATGGTGTTTTTTATGAAGATTTCTATACATGGTTTTTATTGAGGTTTCTTTGGGATTGATATGGGCGGCTGCCCAATTTTAAAACACAGTAACTACAAAATTTTTATACTTGATTTTTTTCAGTATTGCTGCACTTCTTATAACTCTTAGACTTTAATTTCAAGTAATTTTTCTTAAAAATATTTATATTCAAGTATTTTCTATTCATAAACCAAATTTTTTTATCAATTTGGCGCGCAAACTTTTTTTTAATAAAAAAATTTTTTTTAATAAAAAAATTATTAGTTACTGTGTTTTGAAATTAGGCAGTCGTGGGGTTTTTATGGGCTCATCTATGAGGGGGGGGGGAGAGTAGTAGTAAACATTATAAGGGTAGTAAGCACTCGAAATTACATAACTTCACTGATATATTTACTTTTTTTTTGTATTATTAATTTTGTATTTAATAATTATATATCAGTGTTAGTGTACAAATTATTTGTGTGTAATTTTGATTTTATTTTAATGTGATTTTATTGTAGACATATCACCCTTACCCGCGCGTAGCGCACGGTTCATCCTAGTATTAATTATAAAATTGGTTTACAGTTTTGATAGAAGGAAGAAAATATTCTCATGATACTGTCGACTTGACTGGCATAAATGTGATGTTAAACACAAAGGATGTAAGCGAGTACCTGAAAATATCACCAAATGGTTTAGAAGCACGCTGTGATGCCTACTCATTTGAAAGTGTTCGTTGTACTTTTCAAGTTGATTCTGGAGTTTGGTATTATGAAACTCTTATTATGACTACCGGAGTTATGCAAATTGGATGGGCAACTAAGAATAGTAGTTTTTTGAATCATGTAAGTTTTATTTATTTAATTGGTAACTTATAATTATTAAACTGATGATTAATTATAATTACAGGAAGGATATGGTATTGGTGACGATTCATATTCATTATCGTGCGATGGATGTCGTAGACTGATTTGGTATAACGCTCGTAGCGAAAAATTTCACGACCGACCACCTTGGAAGGCCGGCGATGTCCTTGGTTGCCTACTCGATTTAAATAAATTAGAAATAATATTTTATACCAATGGTGTTCCTTTGAAACCGTGCGTCCAAGTATTTAAAACAGCTAGGACTGGGTTCTTTGCGGCTGCTAGTTTTATGTCTTTCCAACAATGTTTGTTTAACTTCGGCAACGTGCCTTTCAAATATCCACCAGCCGACAGGGAGTTTATGAAGTTCAATGATCATGCGACTTTGAAACCAGAGGATAAAGTTGTTCTCCCACGGCATATTTATCTTAATCAATTGAGGAAATTAAGTGTTAGAGAAGATTCCTGTACCTTGTGTTATGATCAAAAAGCTTCGGTCAGGCTGTTACCCTGCGAGCATCGGTAATTTATTTATTTAATGATTATTTATTGATTAAATTTAGAATTATAGATAACTAGCGATTTGCTCCGGTTTCATACGGGTATTTAATTAACACAAATTTCCAAGTTATTCATAATTAGCTGTTATTCGCCCGTTTTGCTGGCACTTTATAGAATTGAATTTTTAGATCTAGATTTGAAATTTAATTAGAGTATTATTTTGACTTGCACAAATTTCAAATTCTATTGAATTGGCATGCACCTTTTATCCATGTAATTATTCTAGCGAATATTCATTATAATTTTCAATTTGCAATCACTATAAAATTCCCGTATTTTTCTTACAAAAATGAATAATTATTGATATGAAAAAAAAATTTGTGATGAGCATTGAAAGATTCAGTTAAAAAAATTGCAGGTCTCCTAAGTGAAGAAATCTGCCTAGTATAGAAACATAACCAATAGAATTAAAAAATTTATTTTAAACAAATGACAATCGAATAGAATAAATTTAGTTACAATAAAAATTCATTATTTCTAAGTCAAAAAATATAGGTTCCGGATAAGTAATCACCAACATATCATATACTAAAACCTTCTCCGAAACACGCTGCATCTTATTGTATAAGTATTATCTTATAGCACAATCATGGTCATTAATTTAAGTAAATATGTTTTTAATATTACTGGAAAATAGCCGTTTGTAAACTAGAACGTTTATTAACTCTAAATTTGGAAATCAGTTGATAATGTCACTTGTGACATTAGAAGAAAATAAAAAATGATATTAATGAAATTAGTGAAATGGAAATTTAACCAAATATAAATTCAGTCATTTATAAAATATCGAAAAACAAAAATCTGTTGCTACGTGAATTTAACCAATTCTTACTGCAGGAATTTATAAAATTAGCCGATTGTAAACTTTGTGTATTGTAAAATTAGCCATTTCTAAATCTCTCGTAATTTTTGAACAGATCGACGGATCAAAAAACGATTTAAGGCATCTAAAATGACTTCCATAAATTTAGTTTTTCTAAAAATTAGAGCAGATTCGACCAACCCACTCAAAAGTTATAAGAAGTTAAAAAACGGCTAATTTTACAATTCACAAAGTTAGATAGATTTTATGAAATCTACCTAATAATATTAATGAAATTAGCGAAATGGATAGTTCACTAAATATAAATTCAGTCATTTATAAAATATCGAAAAACAAAAATCTGTTGCTACGTGAATTTAACCAATTCTTACTGCAGGAATTTATAAAATTAGCCGATTGTAAACTTTGTGTATTGTAAAATTAGCCATTTCTAAATCTCTCGTAATTTTTGAACAGATCGACGGATCAAAAAACGATTTAAGGCATCTAAAATGACTTCCATAAATTTAGTTTTTCTAAAAATTAGAGCAGATTCGACCAACCCACTCAAAAGTTATAAGAAGTTAAAAAACGGCTAATTTTACAATTCACAAAGTTTACAATCGGCTAATTTTACAAGTTTCTGCGGTAAGAATTGCCAAAATTCACGTAGCCACAGATTTTTGTTTTTCATTATTTTATAAATGACTGAATTTATATTTAGTGAACTATCCATTTCGCTAATTTCATTAATATTATTAGGTAGATTTCATAAAATCTATCTATTGCATTGGCCCTTGTGTCAAAATTCACACAGAATTTCGTTACTATATCAATTATTTAGTCGAGTAAGGCTTAAAAATGACGTTGGTTTGGAAGTTTATATATGTATGTATGTATATATATATATATATATATGTATACATTTATGTAATATAACGCACAGCTTGTGGACACGATAACTCCCACAATTCTTAATGAATCTTTATGAAACTTGGTAGACTTATTCTATAGACA